TGCACAGACAACACACACACCCCACTACACACATGCATGCACACACACACATATGAGCACACATACACATCCACGCATGCACGGACAACACACCCCCTGCCTTCACTACAGCACAGACACTGGTGGAAGGAACCTGTGACACATGGGTCGGCAAGGCCTGAGCCTAGTTTCAAAGTTCAAGACTCATGATCTCAGCCCCAATTTTCAGAAGATAAAGGAGCCAAGCAACAAGAGGCTGTCACATCTTAACAGAAAGTTTGGAAGCTAAGTCCCCAGAGGAGATGTGGCCTCCAGATGCAGGGGAGCCTTCTGAACCGAGGACCAGGCTTTGTTCTCCACCTGAATCTCCTGCTGGTGGTGGTCAGGACGTGTAAACTCGGAAGCCTGGCCTCAGAGGCCCTGCTCCACGTTTCCACCCAGGTGATGGGATTCCTCTCCTGGTGCTCTGTGGCTGCAAGAGTTCCTGCCCAGGAGACCTCCTGAGAAGGGACAGGCCCTTCCCTCACACCCACCTCAGCCCTCCCAGGCCTGGCTCTGTCACCTGCAAGGAGACTTGTGGTCTCAACAAGCATAGAGAGGCCACAGATGGCTCATGGCCAGGGGCAAGCACCTACCCCCACCTCAATTTGCTTTGGGGGCCTCAGACTGCTTACCCCCCCRCCTCAACCTCATCTTCCAACTGTTCTTTGGGGGGAAATTGAAGACATTTGGGTCACCCCTGGTGGTTCTTTCTCCTGCAATTATGAGCCAACGAGTTGGTTGGAAATGTCTGGGGAGACAGAGACAGGGTCTGTTCCTGAATTTGTTTTAATGTCAAGAGAAGAAAACAAGAGCTAGGAAATGAGGTCACAGAGGAGGTGCTGGTGGAGAGGCCTCTCTCCAGGGCGCTCTGTTTCTGTGTCTTGCTTTTCTCTGACGGGGCAAGAGAGTCTGTGGCAGGACCTCCGCTGGCCAGAAGGTGTGGAGCACAGGCCGAGGCCACTCTCCTCAGCACACCTGGTCAGGCTGGCCCCACAGTGCTCTGACCAGGAAGGGCAGCCCTAACCTTCCCTGTCTGGACAGCCCCTGGGMGGCACCAGCACATCCGACGGGCAGGGCGGAGGCCAGGGTGCTGCCAGCCACAGCTGATGAAGCTGAGCATGAAGGGCCGGGTCTCCAAAGTAGAGCAGAGCATGGCGACCCCTCCTCAGAGCCGTCCAGTAAAGACGCTGGCTTAGACGCCTGCCCAGCAGCGTCACAGTCTGTGGAGCTGGTGCYTCTCAGCCACCGCAGCCTGTCGGCCGAGGGCCGTTCTGCTCTGCTTTAGCTCCCCCGGCCCGTCAGGGACGCTCTTTCCATCAGAGCGTGTGGGCTGCCAGAGTGGGAGTTTGACGCAGGGGGTGTGACACCCACAATCCTGCTCTGACCTCTGACCTTTACTTCTTCTTTGACTTTATCTCACATGTTTTTTTTTTTAATTCAAAATCATAAATTTTTCATTCTGGTCAGTTCCAAAATTAGCCTCCAACMATTGGATGCGATTTTCTCTTTAGAGACGGGGAGGGTGGAGTTGGAGTTGGGGGACTCTCAGGCAGCTCACAA